GAATGTGGGGATGGGAATGGGGGAACGGGAATCCGATCCCAAATCCCAGCCCTGGGATCGGGTCCTGGAGAGCCGGGAAAGGGCCGGGAAATTGGGAAGGGGGATGGAGAAGGGGTCCCCAAGAGCTGGGACCTGTTTTTTGGGAATTGTGGGAATCCCCATCCCTGAACACTTTTCCTTGGGAATTCCAACCCCTGAACGGATCTTTGGGAATCCCCAATCCCTGAACGGATTTTTGGGAATCCCCAATCCCTGAACGGGTTTTTGGGAATCCCCAATCCCTGAGCGGGTTTTTGGGAATCCCCAATCCCTGAACGGATTTTTGGGAATCCCCAATCCCTGAACGGATTTTTGGGAATCCCCAATCCCTGAGTGGTTTTTTTTGGGAATCCCCAACCCCTGAACGGATTTTTGGGAATCCCCAATCCCTGAGCGGGTTTTTGGGAATTCCCAATCCCTGAACGGGTTTTTGGGAATGGTGCCCGTTCCCAGGTACGATCCCTACGAATCCTACGGCGACTCCCGGGGGGCCGTGAGCGAGCGCGAGCTGTACCGGGCGGCCTTCGACTATCCCGACTATCCCGACTATCCCGGCGATTATCCCGACTATCCCAACGATTATCCCGGCGATTATCCCAACGATTACCCCAACGATTATCCCGACTACCCCAACGATTATCCCGGCGATTATCCCGATTTTCCCAACGAGTCCGAGCCCGACGCCAACGACTTCTACGGCCGGCCCCGCCCCCGGGAGCAGCAATTCCAGGGGAAATTCCGGGAGAACTTCGGCCACCGGGGGCACGGCTGGGGCCGGGAGCGGCAATTCCCGGGATTTCCCGGCCGGGGGGTCTGGAATGAGCCGCGGGGCCCCCCCGGAGCCCGGAGGCTCCCGTCGCTCTTCTCCCAGAACATCCTCCCCGAGCCCGGCGGCTTCCAGGGCTTCCGAGGCTTTCCCGGGAATTTCCGCGGCATGAAGAGGATGAGGAGGGGCTGGAAGATGTGGGATGCGGATTTCCGGGTGAGTCCGGCCCCTTGGCCGCGGCGTTCCCGGCGTTCCCGGGCTTTCCCATGGATTTTCCTGTGATTTCCCACGATTTTCCATGATTTTCCCATGATTTTCCATGATTTTCCCATGATTTCCCATTGTGTTTCCACGATTTTCCCATGATTTCCCTGTGATTTTCCCATGATGATTTTCCCATGATTTTTCCCACAATTTTCCATGATTATCCCACGATTTCCCATGATTATTCCATGATTTCCCTGTGATTTTCCCACGATGATTTCCCCATGATTTTCCCACGATTTTCCCAAGATTTCCCACCATTTTCCCGCTGAATTCGCGGAGGGAAGGAGGAGCCGGGAATCCCAAGGGGTTTTTGGGGTGGTTCTGGATTTCCAGGGGGGTTCGGATCCGGAAAATCGGGGTTTGGGAATGTTGGGAGCTTTTCCAGGGGGAAATTCCCGCTGGTTTGGGATTTGAATTCCCGCTTTTCCCGCTGGTTTGGGATTTGAATTCCCGCTTTTCCCCCTTTTTCCCGCTTTTCCAGCCGCAGCGGAAGCGGCTCCGCCGGGATTCCTTTGGGAAGAAGCGGAAGCAGCCGAGCGGCTCCGAGGAAAAAACTCCCAAAACCGACGGATCCGACAATTCCAGCTCGGAAAACGGTGAGGGGCCCAAAATCCCGGGATTCTGCCCAAATTTGGGGCTGAATCCCGGATTTCCAGCTCTGAAAATCCCGGGATTTATCCCCAATTCCCGATTTTTGGGGCTTTGTCCGTTCCAGAGGAAGGCACGGAGGGCGAATCCGGAGAAAAGGAGGAATCCAGGGGGGTGAGTGAGGAGAAATCCTGGAATTCTGGGGAGTTCCTGAAGGATTTGGGGGAATTCCCGAGGGAAATGGGGTGGGGAGGGGAAATCCCGGGATTTGGGGATGGGAAATCCCCGGATTCCGAGGGAATTCCTGCAGGATTTGGGTTGGGGGAATGGCTGGAGGTGGAATTTTCTGTGGGAATGAATTCCAGGGAATTCCGGCCTCTCCAATGAAATTCCCGGAATTTCCCGAATCCAGGGGAAATTCCAGAGGGAGAAACTCGGGGAATTTCGCTGCGGGGGGGTTGAAATTCCCACGGTTTTGGTTTTTCAGGAAGGGGAGGATGAAGAGGGAAGAGATTCCGAGAAAGGTGAGTTGGGAATTCCCAGGGGAAATCCCAGGAATTCCCGGGGTCGGGGAATCCCAGAAATCTGGGGCCGCTTTTTCCCTAAATCCTGGAATTTGGGAAAGGATCCGTCCCTAAAACCAGAAAATTTGGGATGAGTTCCTCCCTAAACCCAGAGAAATCTGGGATTGCTCCATCCCTAAAAACCCCCGAATCCCAAAAAGCCGGGATCCCCTCTGGCTCCAGGCCGGCCTTTCCCAAGCTCCGCCTTCCTCGGCGTTCCCGGCATTCCCGTTTTTCCAGGAGCCCTGAGCATCCCGGAGGAGAATTCCCAGAATTCCCAGCTGCGGCAGAAGCTCCAGGCCGGGAGGAAATCCCAGGAGCGGCAGAAGAAGCGGCACCGGGACCGGATGGTGGAGAGGTATTTCCTGGGAATGCCGGGGCTTTGGGGAATATTTCCCTCCTTTTTAGGGATGCTTTTCCGGGATTCTTGTTCCCATTGTTCCTGGTGTCCGTTCCCCAGGATCCAGTTGGTGTGCATTCCCGTTATCCCGTTATTCCCATTGTTATTCCCATTGTTATTCCCCTTGTTATTCCCATTGTTATTCCCATTGTTATTCCTGTTATTCCCACTGTTATTCCCATTGTTATTCCCACTGTTATTCCCATTGTTATTCCCATTGTTATTCCCATTGTTATTCCCCTTGTTATTCCCATTTATTCCCATTGTTATTCCTGTTATTCCCACTGTTATTCCCATTGTTATTCCCATTGTTATTCCCATTGTTATTCCCACTGTTATTCCCACTGTTATTCCTGTTATTCCCATTGTTGTTCCCATTGTTATTCCCATTGTTATTCCTGTTATTCCCACTGTTATTCCCACTGTTATTCCCATTGTTATTCCCATTGTTATTCCCATTGTTATTCCCATTGTAATTCCCATTGTTATTCCTGTTATTCTCATTGTTATTCCCATTGTTATTCCCGTTATTCACACTGTTACTCCCATTGTTATTCCCATTGTTATTCCCATTGTTATTCCCGTTGTTATTCCCATTGTTATTCCCATTGTTATTCCCATTGTTATTCCCATTGTTATTCCCCTTGTTATTCCCACTGTTATTCCCATCGTTATTCCCGTTGTTATTCCCGTTGTTTTTCCAGGATCCAGTTCGTGTGCATTCCCGTTATTCCCATCATTATTCCCGTCGTTATTCCCGTTGTTTTTCCAGGATCCAGTTCGTGTGCATTCCCGTTATTCCCATTGTTATTCCCGTTGTTATTCCCGTTGTTTTTCCAGGATCCAGTTCGTGTGCTCGCTGTGCAAGTTCCGGACGTTTTTCGAGGATGAGATCCGGCAGCACCTGGAGAGCAAATTCCACCGGGAGCATTTCCAGTTCGTGGGCTCCAAGCTGCCGCCGCAGACGGCGGAATTCCTGCAGGTCCCGCGGCATTCCCGGGATCGGGGGCTGCTCTTCCTTCCCTCTTTTCCTGCTCCTCTTCTCCTGCTTTTCCTGCTCTTCCTGCTCCTCTTTTCCTGCTCCTCTTTTCCTGCTTTTCCTGCTCTTCCTGCTCCTCTTTTCCAGCTTTTCCTGCTCTTCCTTCCCTCTTTTCCTGCTCCTCTTTTCCTGCTTTTCCTGCTCTTCCTTCCCTCTTTTCCTGCTCTTCCTGCTCCTCTTTTCCAGCTTTTCCTGCTCCTCTTTTCCAGCTTTTCCTGCTCTTCCTGCTCCTCTTTTCCTGCTCTTCCTGCTCTTCCTTCCTTGCTTTTCCTGCTCCTCTTTTCCTGCTCTTCCTGCTCCTCTTTTCCAGCTTTTCCTGCTCTTCCTGCTCCTCTTTTCCTGCTCCTCTTTTCCGCCTTTTCCTTCCTTTCCTGCTTTTTCTTCTTTCCCTTTTCCTGCTTTTTCTTCTCCTCCCTTCCTTCTCTTGTTTTTCCTGCTCTTCCTGCTTTTCCTTCCCCTCTTTTCCTCACATTCCCTTCCTTCCTTCCCTTTTTCCTCCTTTTCCTCTTCCCTCTTTTCCCCTTTTCCCTCCTTTTCCCTTCTCCCATCCCCTCCCATCCGCGGCCCCGGGCTCCTTCCCTGCCGGGGTTTTTGGGATGGGGAATCGGGGATTTTTGGGGATCCCGGGGAATTTCCCCTGCAGGAATCCCCGGGGCCGTTCCTGGGGATTTCTGGGAATTCCCTGCAGGAATACGTGGCCAACAAGACGCGGAAGACGGAGGAGCGGCGCCGCGGGATCCGCGACATCAACGCCGTCATCCAGCAGATCCAGCGGGAGCAGGACCTGACACAGGGTATCCCGGGAATTCCTGGGAATTCCCATGGGGAGGGGCACAGGAGATCCTGGGAATTCCCATGGGGAGGGGCACAGGGGATCCCGGGAATTCCTGGGAATTCCCATGGGGAGGGGCGCAGGGGATCCCGGGAATTCCTGGGAATTCCCATGGGGAGGGGTGCAGGGGATCCCGGGACATCAACGCCGTCATCCAGCAGATCCAGCGGGAGCAGGACCTGACACAGGGTATCCCGGGAATTCCTGGGAATTCCCATGGGGAGGGGCACAGGGTATCCCGGGAATTCCTGGGAATTCCCATGGGGAGGGGCGCAGGGGATCCCGGGAATTCCCATGGGGAGGGGCACAGGGGGTCCCGGGAATTCCTGGGAATTCCCATGGGGAGGGGCTGGGAAGGCTCTGGGGGATCCCGAGGGAAGGAAGTTTGGGAAGCCCGGGAAAGGCTCTGGAATGGCCCCAAGGGATTCACTGATCCTGATCCTGATCCTGATCCTGATCCTGATCCAGATCCTGATCCTGATCCCGATCCTGATCCCGATCCTGATCCCAATCCCGATCCTGATCCCGATCCTGATCCTGATCCCGATCCCGATCCTGATCCCGATCCTGATCCCGATCCTGATCCAGATCCCGATCCTGATCCCGATCCTGATCCCAGGCTCCCATTGATCCCATTCCCCTTGATCCCAATGATCCCATTGATCCCAATGATCCCGATGATCCCATTCCCGATGATCCCATTGATCCCATTGATCCCATTGATCCCATTGATCCCATTCCCATTGATCCCATTGATCCCGATGATCCCATTGATCCCATGGATCCCTGGCAGAGGTGGGCCTGGAGCACTTCCTGCGGAAGGTGGAGGCCGCTCACTGCTCCGCCTGTGACCTCCTGCTCCCGATGCACTTCGGCTCCATCCAGAAACACCTGAAATCCCCGGATCACAACCACAACCGCCGGGTGAGCCGCGGGAATTCACCCCGGGACAGCCCCGGGATCCCGGGAATTCACCCCGGGACAGCCCCGGGATCCCGGGAATTCCCACTGGGGGGCCACCAAATCCCGGGAATTCCTGGAGAGCCCCAGAATCCCATGAGGATCCTGAAAAATCCTGGGATTTCCCACAGGGATCCACCAAAATCCTGGGAATTCGCAAAGGGGGAGCCCCAAATCCCGGGATTTCCCCCAAATTTCCCTGGATTTGTGCCCCCAGCCCCTTTTCCCTCAGGAATTTCCTGGGAATTTTGCTGGGTTTCTGCTCCCAGTCCCTTCTCCCAGGGAATTTCTTGGGAATTCTGCTGGATCCGCGTCCGAATCCCGGGAATTCCCTGTCCCCTCCCAGGCCATGATGGAGCAATCCAAGAAATCCTCGCTGGTGGTGGCCCGGAGCATCCTCAACAACAAACTCATCAGCAAAAAGCTGGAAAAGTACCTCAAGGTGGGAATTCCCGGAATTCCGGGGGCAGGAACACCCCAGGAGGGCTTTTTTGGGAATATTTGGGAGGTTTTTTGGGGAATATTTGGGAGTTTGGGGGGTTTTTTTGGGAATGTTTTGGGGGTGGGAATTCCTGGAGTTTTCCGGGCGCTGTGGGGTTGAGGCTGGATTTGGGATTTGGGGGATTTTTGGGAATTCTGCAGCGGTTTGGGGTTTAGATCCCAGAAATCTCATTGAGGCCATCCCAAATATCCTTTAAATCCCAAAAAATCCCAGAATTCCTTGGAGAATCCCGAGGGAAGCTCCAAATGGTTTTTGGGGATTTTTTTTTTTTTCCCTTTTTTTTCCCCCTTTTTTCCAGGGGGAAAATCCCTTCACAGATGATCCCGAGGAAAAGGAGGAGCACGAGGAAGGGGAAGGAGCCACGGAGGAAAATCCCGAGGAAAACCCCGAGGAAAACCCCCAAAATCCCGAGGAAAATCCCCAAATTCCCGAGGAAAATCCCCAAAATCCCCAGGAAAGCCACGAGGAAAATCCCAAAAATCTCGAGGAGACCCCCGAGGATCCTGAGGAAAACCTCGAAAATCCCGAAAATCCTGAGGAAAATCCCGAGGAAAACAAAAACCCCGAGGAAATTCCAGCAACTAAAGCCCAGGAAAGGGGAACAGGGACAAATCCAGAGGCGGAAAAGGCGGGAAATTCCCAAAACGCCGAGGAATTCCCGGAGGAATTCCCAAGGGAAGAGCAGCAGGATGAAGAGGAAAGCTCCGGAATGCTCCAGGAGTGAATTCCCAACGGGAAAAGGACCCAAAATATTCCCTGGATGTGTCGGAACCGTGTCCGTGGATGTTCCCCGTTCCCAGCCCCAAATCCCAGGAATTCCCAGGGAAAAGAGGGAATTCTTTTGGAATTTTTTCTTGGGAACTCCTGGGAAAAAGAGGGAATTTTGTCGAGGTTTTTTTTTTTGTTTGTTTGTTTGTTTGTTTATTTGTTTTTGGGAATTCCCGGAAAAAAAGGATGGAATTGTGTAGAATGAATTTTATTTTTTTGGGGGGGAATTTTTTTTCTACCGGATCTCCCGAAGTTTTGCCGTGATCCCGTTTATTTGGGTTTTTTTCCAGGTGGATTTGTGGGAATTTTTCCCCTCTTCCCTCGGGAACGGGGATTTTTCCGGGTGGGACAAGGCTGGGATTTGTCCCCCTCACCTCGCCGAGGTTTTCCCAGGATTTCCTGTGGCTGTGGATCCCCCTTTTCCCGATGTTTTCCTGCTGTTTTCCCGTCGTTTTTCCCGATTTTCCCGCTGTTTTTCCCTCCCCTCTCGGAGCGTTCGGTGCCGTTGTGTCCGTTGTGAAACGGGAGAATTCCCGAGGTTTTTGTGGATTTTAAAGGACTCATCCTGAGGTTATCCCGACTCTCTCATCCTTGGAAAAGCCCAAATTCCCAGTTTTTGGAGGGGAGCTCCCATCCCAATCCCGACGTGTTTGGAGTTGGGATTTTCCTGCCCAAAATGGGGAAAATCTTGGAATTCGGGTTCCAGGAATGTCCCTGCTGGAGGGAATGGTGGAAGCAGGGCTGGTTTTTCTGGGAATTTTGGGGTTTGGGGAGCTCCAGGTTGGGCTGGGATGGGGAAATTCCTGCCAGGAATGAGGAAATTCCACCCAGTTATGGAAAACAGATGGAAAAAAGAGATGGGAGGAAAAAAAAGGGAAAAAGGAGGGGAAAGGGATGGAAAATGGGTGGAAAAAGGGATTTGGGGACACTGAGGGGATTTGGGGGCCCTGAGGGGATTTGGGGACATTTTGAGGAGATTTTGGGACATTTTGAGGGGATTTGGGAACCCTGAGGGGATTTGGGGACATTTTGAAGAGATTTTGGGACGTTTTGAGGGGATTTGGGAACCCTGAGGAGATTTGTGTACCCTGAGGGATTTGGGGAGCCTGAGGGGATTCAGAGACATTGTTAAGGGACTTAATCGTGAGGGGATTCGGGAACCCTGAGGGGAATTCAGGAAATTCTGAGGGGATTTGAGGACATTTTGAGGAGATTTGGGAACCCTGAGGGGATTTGGGGACCCTGAGGGGATTTGGGGAGCCTGAGGGGATTTGGGGACGCTGTCCCTGAGGGGCAGGGGACACTCACTGTGAGGCACAGGGGACGTTGGCACCGTGAGGGGCCAGTCCGGGGCCATTCCGGGGCCATTTCGAGGCCGCTCCGGGGCCGCTCCGGGACCGTTCCCAGGTGGGCTCGGAGCCCCTCCGCTCTCGGCCGCGGGGACTCCCTGGCGGCTCCTCCTCTCCCTCACGGCCGGTGAAAGGCGCGCCCCGCGGAGCCGCCCAATCAGGAGCCAGAACGCCCGTGATTGACAGACCTTGCCCTCAGGGAGGAAGCGCCTTTACCAATCAGATCGTGAGCGGGAACCAGCCTGACCAATAGGAGCTGCGGGCGGGACGCGCCGCTGGGGAGAACGGCCAATCAGAAGCGCGGAGGGCGGGCCCTAGTGGGAGGCGCGGGGCT